AAAGCGCGCAAATGTAACATCCTTATAGTGATGAATAGCGCTAATTTAAAATTTTAAATTTTAACATTTAAATTTTAAATTTTAACACCCAAATATAGTTTTGTGTATTGACCTGTATTTTATTATATATTTTAAGGAATACGAAGGTCTGGAGAGAGTGAGGAAAACCATGAATATCTGACGATCAACCCCAGAAGGAACATGTTAACTGGATGCAGCCCGAATACGGAACAGGGCCGCCAATGATTTACGTTTTAAAATTACATTCCTTTAAAATAAAATTATAATACATAGTTATCTTATTAAAACGAAAACAGTGGGGCTACATACAGTATTTCAATTTTGAGTAATAAAAGCACACACCAGGTACAATTTTATCGCTGGATTAATTTTTTACGTTACATTTGTTTCGTGATTCGCACTTCTCCGTCCATTACACCTAAAAGTATGAGTTGAAATTAGATTTTGTCATATTGGAAGTGACAGTTACTGCTTTTAACAAGTTACAAAGGGGTTTTGAAGTGCAAATGTAACACAATTACAGACGAAACGAAATTAGTCAAAGCCAGTCTTCTTTTTTACCCCCTTTTTCCGTGCAGTCTGTCCTTTAAATCGTATTATGAATATGATACAGCGTTGGATAAGGAAACGCTCAACGTGAAGCGAACGGTTTGGCAGTTAAGCGGCTCTACTGAGTACTGACAGTCATTTGGCAAAGGTTTAAGTAACTTTAACTCTGCCTTTGTTGCCAGGGTGATCAGATCAAGGAAGTTATGGGAAAGAAATTTGAACCAAAAGGAAAAAATGAAAAATGTATATGATTTTGATTGGGAAATAGTACTTGATAGGCCGGGACATTTATGGGGATAGTACATGACATCCTTAAAACACGGGTTGTGGGTATCTGAATTACACTAAACTGGTGAGAATGTTTTTTAAATGATTGGCTTTTGTGGTGACGACGATAATATTTTGGATATTACAGAAACATAATTAAACAATTATCAACTTCCACAGTTATGGTGGACATTGTCTGTTATAACAAGTATCAGTCAACGGACAAAGTCAACGTAAATGTCACAGACTCTCAGAATTTCAGAGAATCAACTAGCAATTGCTTGTACAGTCTGTCTACTAATATCAAAATTGGCATAACCCATGTTGTAGCAGTGAACTACTTCTGAAAGCGAACTACCTCGGAAGAAAGCCATTAATTCAAATATACTAAAATATATTCAACTATTTTCTTACTTGTAACTCTGGCCTTCTGGACTAAACAATTACATTAAAAGTGTATATACTTTAACTTATTCAATAGCGTTAACGTTCAGGAACCCATACGTTGTCTGTCATTAACTACACACCACTAAAGACTGATGTCTTCATATTTTGTATTTATATAAGGAATAAAGAAAATTAGCACCTGTGTTATGACTTCAATACGAAATTTCACGGAAATAATTCTGGTCTCTTAAGATTTATGTCTTTTGGGTTGTTGCGCCGTGTAGCCTCGTCATCAACATCACCAAATATACTTTTTGTTCTTCCCATTAAGATTTATTCAAGGTGTTTCGATGTTTCACCACCAAAATTCTCAACGCAGCTCTTTGTATTAACCTCAGTTTCACGCATTGATTGAACTACAGCGCTGCATAAATTACAGGCGCAATTTCCTCAAATACATGTGTAATGTAAAACGTGAAGATTCCAAATAACAACGAATCCACAGGTGTAACATTTGTGTACACTTACGTTATGCCTCCAGCTGACCTTGTATACCCAAGGATTAGACTTTATGTTACACTCGAAGTACACATCGATTCCTTCACGTATCGAACTGGCATTCAGATTACTTCCCAGCTCCAGACTCACAATTGGCACATCTGAAAAATACGATAAAAAATAAAGAAAATGACGAATGAGTTAGGACCAATGTGGCTTAAGGAAAACAAAGTTATTGATAATATGAACTGCAAAAGACACCAATAATCATCATAATTGACTACGCAAGGTGATGACGGATGTCTATCAAAAATTTCGACAGACGGCTTATTTGCGATCCAACTGGCCGTGTGTCGCCGTAGAATGCCGCTACCGTTAAGCAGGCAACTCCGTAGAACGGACATTTTAATTACCGATTCAAGCATGACAAAGGTAATAATGGAGAGTATGGGAACAAGTCACGAGGGCATTGTTCGGAACTGGGGGACAAAAAGGAAAGATAAAAAATTGAGAAATATTGAAACCTCATGACCAAAGAAATTTATGTATATCTTATATATATATATATATAAAATCCCTTCGTCTCTGTCGTCTCTAGCAAGATTTCCAGGCAGTTTTTACCAATGATTCGTTTCTTGACAACTACTTACGCACAATGCGATTATTATGCAGCACCATGGCGGTAAAGAATATAAAAAAACTGGTACAGAGGATTAGCTCAGTCAGTATAGTGACTAGCTACGGGCTGGACGACCGGGGTTCGATCCCCGACGGGGGCAGAGGATTTTTCCTCTAGCCTCTGGGGCCCACCCAGCCGCCTCTACAATGGGTACCGGGGTCCTTTCCCGGGGGTAAAGCCGGCCGGGGCGTGATGCTGACCACTCACCCCCATCTAGTGCCGAGGTCAAGGAAGAGAGGAGCTATACCTCCACTCACCCCAAACGCCTACATGGCGTATAGTGGGACAAACTTTACTTTAGTTACTTTACTTACAGAGGATTACAATGAAAAACAATAAAATTATTTTCGCGCAAGTTTAAGACAACGCAGGAGAAAAGGGGACGCTTCCTTGATACACGAGTAATGTGCAACGTGAAAGAAAGCAAGAACCATTCTGAAAGCAACTGGACGAAATCCCTGGGACGAACAGTCTATTAACAGTGCATACCAGATACATTAAGTTATTTTCCGGACAATGTATTATATCCGAATGTACATGTTAATCTGTAGTTTGAAATTAACCACGAGACTTACCAAAACCAAGTAACAAACTCGATAAGAAAAGTAAAGAAATAAAGAGAGGAGTATTGCTTTATTAAAAAAACGTATCGAGGATAACATTTTAACAGAATGTGAATACATAAAGTATCTGTGTGCTCAAAAAACAATTGTTATAACTAAAAGCTCTATTTGAAGCCTCGCAGGATTACACGCAGTATAGCACAGAAGTTGCATATCTAAGATTGTAACATATACTGTAGAATTTCGGTTTAATTTCTCCTACGAAGACATCTACGCAGTTTATATTTCAATAAGTACATGTATCAAGTAGAGTACATTTATGCATAGAAATTAGAATGGGGATTGGAGCAAAGGCTGAAATATTGCACTGTGGCTTATATTCCATTAGCAGAAATGGATGGAACCTTTAATTTAATTTTCTGGGAAACACTTCTCAGCATCTCGGATTTCACTTTTCATATCGCGTTGCCATGGTTATCGGCAAAGCATTAACTTACTCACTTCATGCAACACGGGCAAATGAATACAAGAACAGAAAAGGGTATTCCAGATTCGAGTATTAATTTTCGTAACGACTTCTTTACAGATATATCGCACTGACATCGTTGCCCGTTTACTTCAGACACAATATTATTTGAGACACAAATCTGTTGTCGCCATATTTACTGCAGCTTATATTACGTAGTCATAAATCATGTTTATTTTTTACAGAAACGATGTATCAGAAAAACACTTCAAATAAGACATATACAAAAATATTATTAGGCTGATGAAACAAAGGAGTAAGAAATGAACTGGCATGTAGCACAAATGGGAGAGACGAGAAATTCATACAGAATTTCAGTCATAAAAACCGAAGGGAAGACACCAGGTTGCAGACGTAGGCTGAACTAGGCTTCGATGGTGGAAGACGTATCATAATATATATTTTTAAACAAATGTAATATAAAGTTGCGGATAGAATCCATCTGGCTCAAGACAGGGACTAGTGGCGGGTCCTGTGAACATGGACCTTTAGGGTCCGCAAGAGACTTCTCAGGTATCTTCGTTAGTTTCAATACTTATTCATTCATTAGTGTATTAAAGAAAGTAGCTTATTCCTTCCTCACTCAACCTTATCCTGGAGTCTTCCTTTCCGATTATACTTTATTGCATTATTTAGAATCAGTTAATTATTTATATTGCTTCTTTTTTTTTTTTCTTTCTGAAGTAACACCCATTTATCGCTAAAATTCGTTCAAAGGAACATCTAAAGAAATTATATCATAATGACTTCATAATTTATTTACAACCCTACTCTCTTCTGAAGCCCGTTTCCGACTTTACAAATTTCATTTAAGGCAAGTGTTACTCAAATACCACTTCCAAGTACCAGAGATCTTATCGTAATTTTTGTAAAACAATTGAGATTCGTTTAACTTTATCCTGACTGTATTATTATTAAAGTTCTGCACATTCGGACGGCAGGCAAGCCATGTTCAGAACAGCTGAAACAGAGTCTTGTTCGGCATGAGTGTAACGATTCTTACACTAAGCGAAGAAGATACTCACTCGCTTTTCACTTCTACACTGTGAAACGAGTTTAGAAACGTCGCAAACGGTTACCTGCACACTCCTCTGTCGGGAATTCAATGCTCCTCCTCGCTTGTGAAACTACATGCTGTATTCTCGGAAAAAAACAAAACAAAACAAAAACTCTGTAAGATGGAGTATGGAGTGAATAATGCTTGAAATCAAGTTTCGCGTATTTGGAAAATACACTTTCCTTTCTAAGGTAGAAAACTTTAACACACACTTCCACACTTTGAAAGCAAATTTCTGTTCTTCTGTCGCATTCTTTCCCCGGGATATTTCCGTGCTCAACGCGACAATCTCAGATTTTTGGTCTCGCTTGTTTGTCTGATCGTTTTCAAACGGATTTCTTCAAGACGATGACGACGACTGGATGCGATGGTACAGCGGGGACGCTGCAGACGTGTTCTCCGGAAGCACTCAAAATTAATTCAGACCTGTTTATCGGATGCGGGCTATATCATACTCTTCGTGGTTTTCCCTCGATCTCTCCAGCCAAATTACACGATAATTTCTTAAAATAGGTCATGGTCCCCTCAGTCAAAATCCTTACAACTCACAGTTCAACATCATTTGCACATTTCAATGACGCCAATTAACTTATGAAGTTGAAACAACGCCTGTAAATAATCCAAGAATGAATAAACCCACTGGTCTGGCGTTCAAAGCTTTTGCACATCTTGTGAACAGGTGGTAAATGCGCGGACTTCGAGAGGAGTGTAGTATTTTTGTGCACCGTTCGATGCCGAGTTCAGGAGCCACTGTCTATACCCTTTACAGGTGGCTTCATTCTTTCCACTTTCAGCACATCACTGAAATAACATATATGATACAAATGGCAGCAAGTTGTGCAATGCCCTCCATAAACCAACAAGGACTTTTCTCCTGCTACAGCAGCTGCGGCAAACTCAATCAATGTTGACCGAACAGTGGTTAGAAGAGACATCTTCAGGAGATTCTAGTACTAAACTTTGATGGAGAGAGAAAGAATAAAATAGAAAGAGACATATCATGGGTAGAAAAGGTCTTAAATTGGATTTCGTTTCAGTTCTATTCTCTCCCTTTTTACTTTGGTGCATCTTCTGTTTTTTTTCTTCTAAAGACGATATTTTAAAGCAAAATAAGATGCCGCCAATACTACAGCAAATCAACACGTCCTCCTCACTTCACTACAGACCCATCTTTTTCTTTTCGTTTCCTACTCTTGCATTTATCCTTGACTGTTGCCTCTTCTGTCGTTCAATTCTACGTCTCCCAACCTTCTACCAAGTCAAGTCCCGAGAAACCTTTCCTCAGGGTGAAAGACTACCGAATCATTTCGATCAGAGTGGCGTTAAACATTCATACCCACTTCACGAATTAATTTAATTTATTCCTTTTACACTTTCTAACCAGTACTATTTCTAGCAAACTAGTTACTACATTCCAGCTTTTATACCTCGTCCATCACTCCAATTATTTTCATATTTGTATTTTCTCTCTCTTACTCTCTAAACTCCCATAGGAATGCGGTATAATTGGACAGAAATCGAATACATTCCACGATGTTGTTCCTCTGTTTTCCTCATTCACCTACGAGGCAGGCAAATCATCTGACATTCTGAAAGCATTGCGGGCTCTCTAAACACAATGCTGCAGGCGCTTCAGAGTGGCGTAATGTAGAAACGTTAGATATATCCCTATGTAGCGTCAGAGACCACAGCTTTCGACTGGTTGATCATTCCGTACTCTGCCAGCAAACTAATTAAGAGTTTTCTTTCACTGCATTCTGTCATTAACATGGCCTGTGTATGTATGAGAATTTGAAGTGGTGACTGCTATGGAGAACAACATGGTCACGGACAAAACAAAACAAAGCATGAACGTAAGAGGGGAAAAAGGTACCTGACCTGTCGGTATGTGCAATATGGGACCACGCACACACTACGGAAGCTAACAACTCGAAACATGTCAGAAAATATTAATGTTCTAAGTTTATTTCATGTGAAACACAAGGACACAAAATCACATTGGGTTATCTCCATTATGCGCTATGCAATTCAAGCAGTTTCTCAAAAGACTGTATCAACTAGAAAGTGGCTATATTTAAAAAGTTTCCTTCCAGCAGAAATTTCGCTAAACCGAATTCAAAAAACAATGTCATTCGTAATTTTTGCTGCACTGAGAGACAAAGATAGGGCTACAAAAAAAGATGATGCATGGAGACGCTGTGTGCAAGTATATCTTCTTGTCTACGGCACAATTTTCCAGGGCAGCAAACACAACAGTTGACACCACGCGACAGTAATCTCTACAAGAAACGGGACCAGAATATGAAATCTGATGGTCTGGCCTTTCTTCGAAATTT